TAACAATTTACAATGGTTAAATGAATTTATATAGCTGTTGTTTATGTGTTAGTTCTTATAAATAGTGCTGCAAGTAGTTTGTTTGTTTAATAATAAAAATTATAATAAAATTATTATAATAAAAATTTACAAAACTTCGAGTTGGAATAATGCAACTTAAGTGTTCGCTGATTTTGTATGTAAACACGTGCGTCCATGGTTCAAATTTGACTGGGTTCAATCCATTGCACTAGCAGTCCAATGAGTATACAATTATATTATACAATCATACAACCATAATACATATGGATATATAATGGATTATAATAATGATGTATGGTACATAAGGGAAATTGTTTTTAGTTCGAGCAAAACGTGCAAATCACTATTGTGACGACATGGTGACGATGCGTTAGGAATTTTAAAATTTACGCTCCGTAAAAAAAAACCAAAAAAAAATATATAGGTATATATACTCAACCCAATAGTATTTTTATATTTAACAGATAATAAATATTTAGCGAAACTCGACAGTTGTATGGCCAGCTTAAGGAGTCGTTTGTTTAAGATTTTTGTCCGCAAGTTTTCTGTAATATTGAAATTTTTTCGTGGTGTGAAAGTATATCTAAAACTAGTTATAAGTGAAGTCTCTTTAAAGTGATCGAATATGATGATTGGAGAGATATCGTTGTTATTTTATTTGAAAATGTAGAATTAATATTTGAGTTTATGTATGAAAATGATCCCTAAGCTTCTTCTTCTTCTTCATTTGATTGAGAGTAATGAAGAGTTATGTTATATGAACATTGCTGAGAAAGGTATTAAAATCCCCTTACAGAGGAAATTGAATAATATTAGGTGAAGATAATAGGATGTCAAAGAAGATGTGGATTAATTATGATATCAATGATATATAGCAAATAGTGACTTCGAAAGTTTTTCTAAGTAAGAAAAAGTAGTTTTTTTCCTAAACTTAAAAATGCACTGGTTGTTTCAGTTTTATAATATATTTTATATTATTTTAATTATTGCAAGTTTTGAGAATAATTTTGAAAAATAACTAATGGCCACGATGTACAGACATTGCATGTTCTAATGATGAATTGCATGACAGTCGAAATTTCTCTATTTCTCTCATTCTCAATATTTTAATTTGCAATGAAAAGAACAACAACTTTATATTTGCCGTGACTATGACTCCCTGAATGACATGCTTTTAAGCAATTCGATCGATTCGATCTTTTTTATTTTGCATTATTTTAAAGAAGTAAGAATGTTTATTATTTATCTTGCTCTGTATTAACTACTCAGTGAATTTTTTTTATTGTATCTGATTCTATACGCCCCCAAAAAACTGTTTAGTTAATATTGAAATATTTTTTGCTAACTTTTATTAACACTTACCATCCATCCTTCGGTGCATAAGCAAATGAAATCATTGAATTGATCATAGCAGGAGCCACCATTTTTACATGGAATCGTATTATTGACAGTGCACTCATCTATTCTAGCGTCTCTTTCGATCGATTCAATGCGGCCCTGTAGTTGTCGGATTTTAAATAAACCGGATCGCAAGTCTCGTCTTAACTTGTTAAACCGTGTTCTATTTACATAATTTCTAAGCCTTCTTTCTAAACCGCGTAAGTCCCGTTTAAAGGCATTTAACTGCTTAGTCAATTCGTCTGTCGAAACCATGCTATTTGCTTCTACCTGTGTATTGTTTTCTTGAAGAGCATTCAAAATTTCCATTAAATTGACATCATTTATATTCAGAGCAGAGTTTGGCGATAAAGAAAATACAATATCTTTATCATAAACCGCCTCCAAAATGAGGTTGCCATCATCTTCAATGAATATTTTCGGTTGTTGTTCAAAGTCACACAATACTAAATTCCAACATAGTACACACAGAAGGATGACGAAGGAAAATGTATACATATTAATAATAGTAATAATAATATAGTTTTTTCAAACTATTAAAGCTTAATTTTCAATTTTTTTGCACTCAAATATTATTTTCTTTATAATAAAATCTCTTTCAATCCAAAATCTCTTTCAAGTATTTTAATTATTTTTTACACAAATTTTCCACACAATTGAAGCCTCAACTTAGCAATTTTAAGACCGATTTTAACTGAAACGGAAACCTCAAGTGTGGGTGTATTTATACCAAAAGGGGCGTTCAATATTATCAGTTCGGCAAAAAGTTACATAATTATACATGTAATATGAATTGATAAAGAAAAATATTTGTAAAGGAGAAAATGTAAAGGTATCTGTACTTTTCTAAAAAACAACTAAATAATTCTAAACAGATTGCCTGAAGCTAGAGAACTTATAACGTCTGTGATTAAATAATATCGACATTAAGTTCTGTTTGTTCAAATACGAACAGACAAGTCCATATGGATTAGTACGAAATTCATGGGTGACTATGAAGAGAATTATCTATTTTTGTAGATAAACAAACATTATTTTGAGAAGGTCACATGTAATTGACGTTAAATATTGGTTTGATTTTCATTAAATATTAATAGCTGATCTGTCAATCGGTTTGTTGCAACTGAAATTGTGTACAACAATTTAGTAGTGCAATTGAGTCATTTATAATTTGATAGGAGTATATACAAGTGTTTAGTAGACATACAACTATTTGATATCACCATAATTTAGCAGATATAATTACGACGTGACGACCTATATGCTATTCGTGTCGTGAAATTAAAAGTCTTCTGCTGACAGTCCAAAAAATATATACTAATCTAAGTCTATTAGATGAGCCATTATTAGATTAAATAATTGGATTTAATGTTATTATCACAAAGATCAGTAGCGTATCCATGGAGAGATTAGATGTATCATGGGATACCAAAACTATATTTAACTATAATGAAAACTACACAATTCGATTAAATTTTTCTATTATTATATTACTACTTTTGTATTGTAATATGTTTTGGATGGGCTTGAATGATTGCTTAAGCAATCAGATTATCTAACATAATTAGGAATTTATTCACGTTAAATATATGCAAGAAGAATGCTCACTTTAAAATAAAATTAAAATCGTAATATACTTTCCCTCTTAGTGAAGTTTGAAATTCATAGTTTCACAGTAAATAGTTGAATGCAAATAAAATTAAATTTTGAGAAAATCATTTAGTTAAGTAATGTTTACTAAATAAAGTTAAATATTTGACAGAAAAATGTGATTTGCAAATTTAGTTTTTATGTTAAGAAAATAATAAATATTATTCATTATTAGGAGAGGGAAATCACCTTACGTTTGAGACAGTCGCGCTACATATTGCACCTGATCGCTAAAGAAGCCTAGTTCTCATCCGAAGTCCAACTCTTCGCCCTTGGCTTCTAGTGTCACATCCTAGGAACGTTGACTAGTGGACTAAACTTGGCGAAGGAAACCTGCGCAGGCCTTCTAGATATATTCTGGTTTTTGGGCTAAGCAGGGAATTTGTACAGCCAGAACGGGCTTGTGCAAACGGGATGGCGGCTTCGCAACCTCTTATGATGTTCAACGGTGACGCCTCACTAACTGCTCGCTTTGAGCCTATAATCATTACGATGTATCATCCAAAAACATCATTGAAGAAACAATATGAATAAAATTTCCAGAAATTTAACTACCCCAACAGGTAGCCAAACATTATCCAATTCGGCTTATGGCACAAAGATTCTGGAGGTGTCAAATTCATATTTAACTAGAGTAAATACAATCAGATAATCTACAAGTATAAGAAATAACCTACATACGCAATAACAAACAACCCCACGGCATGAGAAAGACCTGCGATTCAGTACGTGAACGTCAAAACACTATATCAAACGATAAAATTAACCCAAGCATGCAGAACAATAGAAAATTTTAAGCTAGCCTTTATGGGCTTATGTAAACTTTGATGGAACCAAAGCATACAGTTGCTCACTACAAAAAAATACCTATTGCACTGATCGGGAATCACCAGACGATATACAGCAATATGAAGTAGGTGTTCTAATACATAAAAATTTAAGAATAGCTATGGATGCCAAATTCATTAAGGAACGCAAAATGACTGTCGGATTTTAATGCTTCAATAGAAATTTAACCGTTATAGAGTGCTACGTTCCAACGGCAGATGCTTCGCAAGTAATCAAAGATATCCCTCAACAAGTTTTAAAACTTGTTTTAAAACTTAAAACTTGTAAAACTTAAAATTGGTGACTTCAGCGCTAAAATTGGTTCTGATCACTCGGAAATAGGATATATTATCGGCGAACATAGGAGTGGCAACATGAACAACAATGGAGAACGACTTATAGAGTGTTTGGTGCTTAACGAACTTAATGTTTTCATATAAATTAGCGCACAAATAACAAAATAGCCAAATAACATCCATCGAAATTCTGCAAATATGGCTTCAAATCAAGCGCACCTTAACTGTGTGCTGCAATCAAGCGGAAATATATAAATATTTTTACAAGAGACGCTAAACAACCAACTGGGTCACAGAACATGAAAGAGGTGTACGATATCACAAATCGAATCGCTGTCATGACATCACCAAGAGATAGATCAATCAAGGCTTATCAATAGCGATAAAAGGCTTATCAGAAATATGCATAGCAGCTTGCCCGCTGGAAAGAACATTTCTCGAGTGTTTGTAATCTTCGCAGAGAAGGAACAGAACCGACATTCCTTAGTAATACCCCTCATTACTGATAAGCATAATACCAGCAAGCTGAAGGGAGATAATTGATATAAATTCATAATGCCGAAATTGAAATGATGCCGAAAAAGAAAACGCTATACACTGCAATAACTGGTGAGGCATTACTATTCTGTACTCGAAGTTCAAGATATTCATGAAAATCATACTAGAGCGTATGCATCAACTTATAGAAACATTATTGCACAATGAGCAAGCTGGAGTTCGGTCGAGACTCCGAATAAACGCTATAAGTATAATAATCGAGCAGTCCATCGAAATGCAGTCAATGCTGTACTTGCTTTATGTCGACTACGAACAAGCATTTCTCTCCACATCCTCGAAAAAATCACAACTCTGATACGCTATACGTATGAAAGATTTAAATGCGCAGTGCTACACAACGGAAAGGTTCCCTTGGTTATAGTTTTTGGCTTAAAGCATGGATATCTGATATCGTAGCTAATCTTTCTTGTTGTCATTGATGTCGCAGCAAGACATGCAAGACACAAAAATTGACGTGGAATCACTCGGAACCCGTTGAATTCAACGTTCAAACTTGAATCTTTAGACTATGCAGATAAGAAATGCGAAACATCTCACCGTAGTACCGACGCAAAGAAAATTTGACGATCTTGCACATAAATCTCCCAAGGTTGGACTCGTTATAAATATCGAAAAAACTAAAGAAATGCAAATAAACGCATCATCGAATGAACCGTTAGATCTCAATGGCCAACTGATTGAACGTGTTGAGAAATTTCAGTACCTAGGTAGCATGGTAGAATCTACAGAATGTACACTGATGGATATAGCGGCAAGAATTGTTTTAGTTGGGCCTTTAGGCACAATAAATCTTTTAGGTCGGGGTGCATTCATAGCCTATTATTTTAATAATCATAAAAATAGGAGCAAGAATAAAAAAAGGAATTGTTGGCTTTATTTAAGTGAATAAGATATGATCGTCAAATTTTTACAGTATTAATATCAAATTCACGATATTAAAGTTGTGTGTTTTATCAATGCTTCTGTATAGATGCGAAACATGGTTCGTCACTGAACAAGTCCACCAAAAATTACGCAGTTTTATCAATTCCTGTTTTTGTAAGAAATCTTCTTCAGGATTTTCTGGCCAAACTACATTTCTAACAAGTAGTTATGGTCAGGGACAGGTGTGGGTGACACTTACATCCACATTAGAAGACACAAATTTGACTGGATAGGACATACACTACGTAAACCGATAGATGATATCGCAAATGTGGCAGTCCATTATAATTCATCAGGCCTTCCAAAAATGACTTGGAAAAGGTTCACACTAAACGAAATTAACAGTATCGCAGGGTTCAACAGAAACAACTACAACAACATCAATGAACTGGCAGACATCGTGTTGCAAAGAAGGCAATGGAAATTACTCGTAGATAACCCATGCCCAGTATAGTGACAGGCGTAATAATATGACACCCCATATTGTCAAGTGCTATAAAATTACTTTAAAAATTGTTAACTACATAAAATTTAAGCATCTCTTGTTATAGTATTAGAAATCGATTTATATTTTATATAATTTACTTAATTATTTAGTTAACTCGAATAATCTCTTTTTACATTCGAAAACAGTCGAATATAACACAACTTAAGTTCCGTACGTGTCTGTTCCAGCTCCAGTACATGAAATGCAGTTAGTGTTTCCTAAATTTAGTCACGTCATCAAAAATCAGTCTTCACCAAACTTTTCTTTCTCCGGCTGTATCATGATTTTTCATTTCACGACATCTTCAAGCTATTAAGAAAACTCATATAGTTTGGGTTTTATTCGGATGCGACTGTCATCGCCTACTGGAAGAAGATCAAATATCTTTAAAGAACTTATTCCAATACTCAGAAGTACTTCATCATCATAAAGAGTGTAGGGTGTGCCGATCGATTGTAGTACCTATTGTTAATAATAATGTAACGTTACGTTGTTGGCATATATTGAAGTCTCAACGTACATACTATCTCTGGCAACTTTGAAAGTATCACTAGATAAGGAAAAAAATTCTTTCGCTTACCACAAAACCGAATTCAAATTCAGGCTTATTTGCATGGCTGATATAAATATCATAATTTGGTCTTTCAACTCAACATTATTGGGACTTTTGCATTTTCTCGATCACAGTAGCGTAAGTTTTTTGCGTTGGGGGTTCAGATATTTCTAGTACTTACCCATATGTCACAGAATTTATTTTATATACAGGGGTTGTTAAACTTAAAAAGCCTTATCATTCATTACTGGTACCTGATGCAAGGTAATGGATGTATTCATGAACAATCTTAACATACGGAGGAAAGTGTAAGGACTATTAGTATGTTACTCAACGGGTACCAGTAATTATTGAGCACAATAAGGATTGTGATATCATTCACTAAATTGTAACGACCTTTTCCCGGCCCTATCTATAGCTGGGGTATACTCAGCGAGTATACCAGGGTTCGTTATAAGAAAATTTATCTAAGTAAAATAATAGAGACACTTCTGTTTAAAGTAGCGTTTATTATTTAACAAAAAATAAGAAAATATAATCAATTTGTGGAAAGCGATGTTGAAAATGTTGCTAATGATGTAGAATGTTGTAATGATGTTGTAGACGGTGTAGCATGTTGTAAAATGTTGTATGGTGTTATAAATGTTGTAACGATGTTGTAAACGGTGTAGGATGTTGTGAAATGTTGTATGATGTCATAAACGCTGTCACGATGTTGTAAACGGTGTAGAATGTTGTGAAATGTCGTATGACGATTGCTTGCAGTGGTGCGCAAGTTGCTAACCTTGAAGTGAAAGAAATTCCAAATAGCTAATCTCTAGAAACTCTAATATCAATATAAAGCAATACCTTTGTCAGCAAAAGCCAGACAAGGGTTCCTTCCTACTGTTACGCCTGGCCACGTCCGTCAGCAATTGCCAAACGCTCGTTGTCCACACGCCTTCTTACAGTGTTGGTGACTCGTCGTCCATTCCTCCATCAGCTATGGCCAAATGGAAGTCTGGATGACTAGTTAAATTACCCTACGCCAGCAAAAGCCAAGCAGAAGGTAACTCAACTGGTTAAATTACCCTACGCCAGCATAAGCCAAGCAGAAGGTAATTCAACCATTATCACTTCACCCAAACTAGTTCATCCATTCACATGGTGATCGTCAGCAATGGCCAAACGAATCAACATATGCCTGGACCAACTAGTCCGAGCTCCCACTATCATCCCTAATAAAAGTGACTTACCTTGAAGTGAAAGAAATTCCAAATAGAAAGATTTGGCAATTTCGCTGCCCTTTTATTTGAAATTTCTTCCATTACATACAAAAACAATAATTATTTTCAAATAAACAAAGTCCCGTAAATTTGTCAAAACAAATTTCTTATTGTTGTACGCATTGCAATCAAATTCAACAAAAATAACTGCATCACATAAAAAATGCGTGCACAATATTTTTCTTAAATTTGTTTATGCAGACAAACAAGAGAAATAGTTACAACAAATTTAACTAATTTTTATTAGCGGCAAAAAAACTAATCAAAACATATTTTACTTCACAGGGTCATTCGTTTATAAAAAATGTTTGTCTTTGATATGTAATTTACAGGGTCATTTGTTTATAATAAAAATGGATGTTACTGTAGGAAAATCTTATTGAATTTAGAAACATTTACTAAGTGAATTTAAAACTCATATTTGACTATTCATTTGATTTGTGGGGTTAAATTTTAGAATAAAATTTGGGCCTTACACTCCCTCCCTACTTCCCCGAAAGTAAAAGCGCGACCACTACTGTTCCCGGGAAACTGAACCGTGCCGGGACATACTACCTGTTAGCTTGACTTCTGTAACGTTGCTTCGGACTTTTGAATACTTTATAAAATTCGTCTTGGGCCGTAGTGACAATCTGATCGTGTTCTAGCGTGTCTTGTAGTTGATTAACAGGATATGGCGGCTGGGGGTCAAGTTCCTTTGATTGTAACGATGATTTGAAATCACTTTGCGAATGACTCTGTGGCATTTGCGACGATGATTCTGAACTTGTAGAAGTTGGTAACAATGGACGATTGACATGTGATGACTCTGGTACTATCGTTAAACGTTGTGGCAGTGTTGGACGTGATGATAAATCATGCTCTTCGATTTGACGCTTTTGTTCTCGTGGTTGTTGTACATCTTGTATTCGCAGTTGTAGGTTTACGTGATCTTGTATAGAATATGCATTGGAAATTCGATGTTTACTAAGTCCTGGTTTATTTTCTTCGATAGGCGTAACGTGTTGCGGAACTTGCTGTGGTTGTATTTCATGCGCTTGCACTTGCTCTGGTATTACTTGGATTGGATGAAATACTTCTGGATTTTGTTTGATATATCTAGGACGTTGTTGTCGTTGTGCCTTTTGTATTTGAGTTTGTGATTCTTGACGATCTTGTGTGTATCGCTGTAGACTAAATACTTTCGGATTTTCTTCGATATGTTTTAAATTTCGCTGACGTTGTACTTCTGGGATTTGGAACTCTTGTATCTCTTTGTTTGCTTTTGGATCATGCGATGGTGGTACAAGGCATTTACATGGCGCTTGCACTTGTAAATTTTCTCGCAGTTTTACTGAATGCTTGTCTGGGTAAATCTGACATTGTGTGCTTTGTATTATACTTGGCTTGGATAGTAATGCTGTCTTTGAAGTTGCAATTTTATTTACTTTTGCTGCTGTTTGCTTATCTATCGACTGGTTACGTTGTTGGTTACTTTGCTGCTGGTTCCGGACAGGTGATACGGGGCTTAGACTATAGATATCTTCAACTCGTACTGACGTCATGGACATGAGTCTCATTGTATTCTGTAATGGCATCGTTGGTGGATACTGGACCACTGTACACCTGTGGATAGTTTCTTCTTGAACACGGTCTCGACTCACTTTGTGCTGTGTTGTGTGAAGTTCTTCAAATTCATCAGCAAGTGTTGTTAATTCCTCTATACTTGCGAAGTCTTGATGTTTGATGTACATTTTGTAGTTTGCATTCATGTTGCGATATATTCGCTCTAATTGCGAATCTGGATTTAGGCAAGCTTGTCGCATTAAATTTTGAATGTCGATAAAATAATCCCTGAATTTTTCCTTTGGTTTATGAAGCCGCAATCGTACCTCATCTTCTAATTTCTCAAAATATCTAGAGGAAATGAAAAATTTCAGGAAGTCGACTTTGAAATTTGTCCATAGCTGCCAATGCTTATTATTACAGCGATGCCACATTAGTGCCTTATCTTCAAGAAGTATAGGCATCATCTTGGGAACTAGATTTACGTTAATAGCGTAAACATCTGCTAGTTCTTCTATTCTTTCTATGAACCCCAATGGATTCTTTCCTCCGTCGTAACGTACCGACCACTTCCTTATCTGTTCTAGGTCATGAGCATATGATGAGGCCATGATTGACATGAGGCATTTAATCTTTGGCCGTCTTGGGTTTATATTTTCATTTGTGGTAACGTTAGCTTGTGTTATTCAGTATGATGATAAAATCATAATTTTCCGGTTTACATTGTTTTACTCCTTGTATTCTTGCGACAAATTCTGCTAGTCCCTCTGAAACTCAGTCCCTGCTCGGGCGCCACTTGTAACGACCTTTTTCCCGGCCCTATCTATAGCTGGGGTATACTCAGCGAGTATACCAGGGTTCGTTATAAGAAATTTTATCTAAGTAAAATAATAGAGACACTTCTGTTTAAAGTAGCGTTTATTATTTAACAAAAAATAAGAAAATATAATCAATTTGTGGAAAGCGATGTTGAAAATGTTGCTAATGATGTAGAATGTTGTAATGATGTTGTAGACGGTGTAGCATGTTGTAAAATGTTGTATGGTGTTATAAATGTTGTAACGATGTTGTAAACGGTGTAGGATGTTGTGAAATGTTGTATGATGTCATAAACGCTGTCACGATGTTGTAAACGGTGTAGAATGTTGTGAAATGTCGTATGACGATTGCTTGTAGTGGTGCGCAAGTTGCTAACCTTGAAGTGAAAGAAATTCCAAATAGCTAATCTCTAGAAACTCTAATATCAATATAAAGCAATACCTTTGTCAGCAAAAGCCAGACAAGGGTTCCTTCCTACTGTTACGCCTGGCCACGTCCGTCAGCAATTGCCAAACGCTCGTTGTCCACACGCCTTCTTACAGTGTTGGTGACTCGTCGTCCATT